TTATTATTATTATTATTATTATTATTATTTATTTTTTTATTTTTTTTTTTTTTCCGCCATGGAATAAAAAATAAAAAAGTAAAGAAATTTGTGACTCTTTAATATCACAATTCTAACTTTTTGTTTTTACATCTTGCAATTCTGTTTTTTTTGCAGCAGCAGCAGCAGCAGAGTTAATATCTTGCAATTCAGAATTTTTTTCTTTGAATTTTTTTTTCTTTTTTTCCCACCATTGAATAAAAATCAAAAAAGGTAATTTGCGACTTTTTAATCTCACAGAGGTTTTGCTCTGAATTTTGGTTCAGATTTTTTTCGGAATTTTGATTACATCTTGCAATTCTGTTTTTTTGTTTCCGCCACATAATAAGAAGTTAAGAAGGTACTTGCGACTTTTTGATCTCACAATTCTGACTTTTTTTTTTATCAGAAATGTGCACGATTTGCTGATTCATTCATTCATTCATTTAAAATTCAGTGGTGGAAACAAGCTTCCATAGTTTTCTCAAAATTGTATACAGTCCTATACAAATATGACAACTATTTTGAAAATCAAAACTGATACTTTTACTTTCTTTATACTGGTTCCTTTTTTATTTTAAAAGATTCATCAGTGCATATTATTAAAAACAAATTAACAACTTGCTCTGCCTCTAAAATGAATAATATTTAGATAATGTTTAATCAAATGATTATTTCATTAAATAATGTTTAAGATCCTTTTTTAAAAGAGGCCATTTTTATTAGCATTTTTAAAAATGAAGCATAACACTCCACAAAACAGTGCAATTAAAATAATGCTTTAAAGAGAATGAATGGAACTTAAAAGAAATAAAAATAGTACCGTAAATGTCAACCTCACTAGTTGATTTTTTGGCAATTAGTTGATTAGCCCATGCTTACTACGGTTTCATACACACATGCTCCATTACCTCAGCATATCTGCACTAAGCTGACCTCTTTCAGTAAACAGCAGATTTGTGGATGAAATTAGCATCTCATTTGCATAACTGCGACTGTTTTAAAGAGAGCAGATTAACTGCATGACATCAGAGGAAGCACAGGAGACAAGCACACACATAACAGCACACTTTGCTCTGCAACTAAAAGCCGTACTGAGTGAAAATCTCACCCTGCTTTTAAAATAAAGCGGCGTCATCTGTGCATCTGATAGGTGGGCTGATGTAATTCTTTGCCATGTTTCTGTCTCACGGATCCTGTTAAATTGCTCTTTTGCTTTGCGCCAGCTAACAGTGCTGCATACAAGCCCC